GGTGGGGAGGCAAGGTCACACAAAGGAGCCGCGATTTACTTGTGTCTCATGGGAACAAACTGATAAAATCCCATTGTTTTCCTGGATACATATTATCACTGAATATATTTAGAGAGGCACTGCTATCAAAATAATAGAGTTCAGTAACAATACATTTTCTCACAAGAAGAGCATTTAGTCAGATCATGTTTAAAGGACAAGCAGCTCAACAATTTAAACATAGATTAACTAGCCAATTATTTCATGCTAAACTATGTTTACTCATCTATTCATGTACCTGAAGCTTCTGCACCCCATTAATCAAATGTCATACATTGCCAGAATACCTGACACATACGTTAAAATCACAAAATTAAAAAGTGGGTTGGAAGGGACCTTTAAAGACTGACTAGCCCAACCAAAATTTATATAGGTACAGTATTCTCACAGTCTTTTACTTTCTCACTTAACAAATAAGCAAAATATTCAGTGATCACCTCTGCCTAGGCTTGTGCCCGGATTTTCCCATGACAGGTGGTTAGCCTGTTTCTGTAGGATGATATGAGCCTGCCTCATGTCAGAAGCTGATCCCATTCAATTATTTTCAAGTTACTGACTGAAAAAAAGTTGAGTGGGCTGACTCAAGTCTTCCCACTGAACTTCTGCTCTCAGGCCATCCATACCTTTTCCCCTCCTTTAAAGACAAACAATGTGCACCACAGAAATGCAGCAGCAGACAACAATGTAAAATTTTTTCTTAGAAAAAAACAAACAAACGTATTAACACAAGTTTGTTGAATTTTCATCAGTGAAGCTCATTCTTGCTTATTTTTCTGAAGGAAAAGGCTGGATGACCAGAACAGAGTATGTTGGGAAGAAAGTCAGACAAACAGGTTTTTAGAGGATTTAATTTTGCTTGGCTTTAACAGTTTTTTTGATGAACTTAAAAAGTAAAGGCCAGGTAAGCATGTTCAGAAGGCAGGGAAGGAGAAGGAACTTTTGGAATTGCCAGCGATTTGCAGCTCAATCTGTAAACTAAGTAATAAATGTGTAATAGGAACATTCAGGAACCCTGAGAAATTTGGGAACTCTAAAATGCTGTACAAGACAAAGAAGCTACTAGGGCTTTCTGGAATCACACTTAGGAAAACACCACACCTATGCAATATCTGAAAGACTCTTAGTCTCCACCTGAAGTAAACAAACTTATCTTCTTGATTAGCAAGAATGCACAAAGACTGTTAGCTACAGTCTTCTATTGGGTGATCTACAGATAAAAAGGATGAAAGAAGTTAAAGAAAGCCCCAACCTCCCAGAGAAATATCAACCAATCATTGTTATAGCAGAGGTGGAAATGCAGGTGCCTCTACACTGTGAGTGTGGCATCTCTTGGATTCCTCTCTTCTTCAGAACCAGGTGTGCAGATGTCTGGATACTTGTAAGTATTACTACACAAAGCCTTGTCCTGTTATTGTTGGAAGGACCAACTACTGACATCCTTTCCACAACAACCACTGCAGTGCAGCACTTCTTACCTCTCTTTTTGGGCAATAAGAGACATCACACCTTGTCCTCACGTGTATCAGCCTGGCAGTGGAACAAGAAGCCTTCACAGACCCCAGGGGAGCCACCATCAATGCAACACTTCTCTTTGCTGACCAGAGTCTGACCCGAGGATACAACCCTTCAATCCTCAGCATTTTACCTGTGCAAAGTTATATTGGTATTCATGTTCTCCACAAAGTTGATGGCTGGGAAGATCAGAATCATTCAGCTGTGCTATTGAGTGAGAGACTGACCACAACTATTTTAATAGTTTCTATAGACTATAGCGTGTAAGTACAACAACTAAAGGACAAAAGCAGATACAATTATGACTTGGCATTATTCGAGCATCCTTACCTCTTGTGGTTAAAATGATATAATTATGGGATACATACAAGACAGCTATCATAACAAGAACAGATAACTAACAATTTTTGAGGCAACTATAACAAAAGCAGAGTATAGCTGTTACAAAAAGAAGAGAAAGAGGAAGAGAAATCGAAGACAATTTTATAGGTTTCCTCAAGTGGCAAAACTACACTGGCAGAATCACTCTTTCAATGGTATAATTAAGGCTCCTTAGTATCTGTCAATGCAGTTGTGTTACCACAAAATAAAAAAAAGCACCTTGGTGATGAACACTGCTCTGGGGCAAAATAAAGGAATTTAGGCCTGGCCTTAGGTCTTATCTTTGTGACATAATTAGCTCACAGCAACCATGTTGGTGAGTTTAACTGTGACAACTGTAATAGAAAGGCTAAAACTGGTGCCAATGGAGCATGAATGGGAATGTCTGGGTGTGGAGACAGACAAAGTGTACCCATCAGGGAAAGGGGCCTGTGTTAATAGCACCCAACTAGCAAGTCATCAAGAACCATCCACTTTCACAGGACAAAGAGGCATGAAGACAAAGACATGTAATGACTCCTGATGATGCCCAGAGATAGAAACATATTGATCACTGTTAAGATACAAAACTGCATAAAGACATATCCAAACTCTGCCCATGGTCATCAACCTAAGAATCACACAGGAAATGAGGAATGCTTGAGGCTTAGCATCACTTATTCTCCCTGTCACATGCGAATACAAGACCTGGACACAAGATTAAGGTGCCGAGACTCCTGGTCAGATAGCTTGAACACCCAGGTGCTGGTATCTGAATTCTGGGCAGACTCCATGGACACCACACACACTCTGGTACGTGTTTGGGGGAATGAAAGTAGGTTTGTTTCAGTTTGTTCTAAATAAAGTCACCTCCTATAAGTTCTCACAAGGCTATTTCCTATGCAGTTCATACAATATTTCACTAGTATTTTTCTTACCAAAGCCTCTTCAGGTCAATCCAATTTTTTAACCATCTCCAATTTAATTGACTCGAGAGGAGACCTTTTCCATCCTGATGGAACCATTGTTATTACTGCAAATGAATTTTTACGTTTACCCCCATCAATGTTAGTTTTATCATATTTCTTGTGTCCTCACTGTGCTTTTGTTGTCCAAATGTGGGCTCATTTCCTGCTGTGCAGCCAATCCACACACCAAGGAGAGGTATTTCTATTTCTTTGTTCTAGTTTGTGCAAAGTAGGGAGCTGTGTGGTAACCCCCAAAAATCTGGCTCCCCGTCATCAAAACTTTATGCTATTTATACATTTTAACAAACAAAGGCATCAGCATTAATTGATTACAAATCACATAGCTTTTTCATGATTTAGTACTCAAACCCTTATTTGCTAGTTGTATCTCTCACCTCTAATGCTAATTAGTCCTCATGCACAGCTCTTCCCTCCATTTGACTCGGGGGTCTATTTTGAGTAGGTGGGCAGTGGGTCAGCGGCCACAACCTCCCCTGCCAGAACTTCTTGTCTCCCAGTTACTGCTCAGTCCTGCTGACTTTGCTCCTGGTGGCTCTCATCCAGACAGCCAATTCATCTTGGGATTGTTCTCCCTTTCCTTAAAACAAAGGATCAGCCAAGCCTACAAGTTTCAGTAAATTTCACAATGCAGCTGCTTAATCCTAACTGCCTAGATATAGCCACTGATTAACAACAAAAATATCACAAAATTTGGTTCAAATCGTGAGAAACTAGATAACTTTTTCCATCGTTATCTCACAACTAAGGTAAAATATTAAGGTTAAAAAATCCCAAATCAAGAAATTGGGGAAGACGCTGAAATCCTTTATAGTAGTCAAAGGAACAATCAAAGAACACAAGGATTCTTTTTATACACTTTATTTCCCCCCTTTTTTTTTAAATACAGGTAATCTTTAACACACTACACAAAACATTAATATTACAGCAGCTGCATCACTTTGCTAAGACATACCATGTTACTAAAATCTTTGTCATAATTTGACAATTGGCCTTGTCAAGGATTACTCACCTAATTGTCTCTATCCTTTTTCACTGAAATCCCATTGTAAGCTGATCTCTTATCAGGGACTCTATTGGTTCCCATGGTATCTAATATATCAAAACACCAGCATTAAATTTTTAAACCTTTATTAAGAGATTAAACTGGGCTAAGAAACCATACTACTGTGCTGTGTGCCAGAAAACATTTGAAAAAGATACCCACGCAGGTTGATTTGTATTGTGGATGGAAAAGGAATAGGAGTATTTCAGGTCTGTAAAATGCTCATAACAGTTTTAAATGCTTACATCCATGCTTCTGATTTTTGTTAGGCTGAGCCCAGAAGAATCCACCCGTGAACTTACAGTGAACCCAGTGTGTCAGGAGTGGGATTCTTGGCACTAAATCTGTTCAGTGTGCTCATACGATAAAGTACAGACACCATCAATAAAACTGGCAGTTCTTCAAGCATTACTGGGTGTCAGCTGTTTGATTTAAGGTGACTCAGGCCCTACAGTTCATGACTGAAAAGCAACTCTCCATTTTTAGCCATTACTATATGTAATAATGGTTAAAAAGCAATTAAGGAACTTAGATTAAAAGGATTAACAATAACACCCAATAAACTCTGCCCTGCAAGTCAGTGATTACAGTTCTATTGATTAATCTTGCAAAGCTTTTTTCAGCAAAGGAGAATAATTTTACTTTAATGAGTGAATGAAATGTCTAATTTCACCTACTACTTCTATTGTGCTCACAGTAAGTGTGAAGTACATCCATTTAGAAACTGGCCAGCTACCAAATCAGGTCCACTTTCCAAGATCAAGTTAAATGTTTGAAGATTCTGCCACAGAAGAGGGATGCATCTGACTCAAAAGAGAGAAGCGGTAATATGTTTTATTAAAAAAACAATAAAAAACAGTGAGGTAAAACAACCTGATAAAATTCGATGGAACTTAACAAAATTCAGTGGCAAAATTGACTTTATTAATTACTGCATGGAAGAAACATACGAATAAAAATTAATTTACAATGGCTCATAGAGGGACTGGAAGATGAAATGTTAGAAGGACCCTCTTATTGAGTCACAAGGTCCAGAGTAGACCCCTTTGCTCTTTTACAGAGCCTAGGTAGAGCTGGATGCAGTCTTAGTTGGTTCACATCTAATGAAATTATCCACACTATAACACCTGAGTAGCTACATAGATCAGTAATGCTTCACAGTATTAATTCAGCATGCTCTCAGTCACTTTGTGAGTATCTGCCATGGGTAAGGGATCTCTCAAGCTCAAGGAGTAACCTTGGGAGCCATCCTTGCTCAGGGAGATATCATTGCCAGGCAGACTGCTGCTTCAGCAAAGGGAGCTCAAAGCTTTGCACGGGCTGCCCGTGCAGTGAAATAGCTGGCTGCCAGTCAACAGTGTAGACAAGACAGATACTTTGTTTTAGCTCTCATATCTTGTTCTGTTCTTTTGGATATCTTGAACTGTTGGGTTTTGAGAACATTTTCTGAAATATTTTTTCAGAACACCTTCGCTCCCATGTACGTCAGCCAGGAGCTTTACAGCTTGTGAGTCCACCCCAAGGACACGAGGCCTTGTTGCTTCTTGGTCAGTCTGAACAGAGGTACAGCCAAGGGTCAAGTGTATCCATCACATTATCCCATTGCTGGAGGGTAAACCTGCGAGCTTATTATACTCTGTATAGTATAATACAGTGTAGAATGTAGAATATAAAATAGAATACGGAATATAGCATATAACATACTAAATTGATAAGGAAACTCCCCAGACTGACCATTCAACAGCCACTCTGGCACCCACCACCTGAGACTTTCACAGCTGGGACTGAAGCCCCTTCACAGGGACAGCTCCAGTGAGGTGACAGGTGCCCCCCTTGACTCCCTGCACACCCCACTGTCACACAGTCAGACAAGTTTCCCTCACCAGTTCGGCCCCAGGTTTCCCATAGCAGGGTCACAGGCATCTGGCTCCTTTAAGTAATTTAATTGTGGTGCAGCAACAGGGGAACAGCTCGAGCTGGTGCCTCAGGGGAGGGACCTCAAACAACAGAACCCCTGGGCCTTTATACCCTCCCAAACCATGTGCATAGTCCGGGGTTTTTGAGTCCTCAGCTCCTGCTCTCTCTCTGGGTAACCAATCACCTGGGCTGCACCACAGGGCCTCTGGTGCCCTTTGTTGAGCAAAGTTCACATCTCATTGCATGGGGATCCCAGAGCACAGCCTGCAGCTCACATACTGGCCTACCTGCACTAGGTGTATTCCTCAATATTTATGCTCTTGTAGCTTAAGAATATGACGTTTCTGGTCACTTTTAGGCACAAAGCATTGTAACAGGTAATATGGCTTTGCACAAGACATAACTAGGCAGTAAGTAAAGCAAAGTGTGAGCAATTTGTGCAGAAAATTCTCATTGCCAGGGGTTGGTGTCCACAGAGGATACAGAGGAATTCTGCCAAAGTAACTTTGTTCATGAATAAAGGGAGAGCTCAATGAGCACACCCGGTGAAAATCTCTCTCGAATAACTGGAGGATGTAGCCTCCTTTTTATTCTAAATTCTTCCTGGTCATGTAATGCTCTTCCTTTCCTCACTGGCTAAAGTACCTAGAAGGTACAGACTTAGCAAAAATGCCTATTACATACAAGCATTTCTTTTCTCACTATTCTTAAAAAGTTATTTCCTTTCTCACTATTCTTCTACAAGTTAATTGATTCTTTCAGTCATTTTGTCACCTAAAAACAGCTGTTTTATTACCCACAATTAGCCATTTCCTTGCATCTGCAAGCAGATAGAGCTTGTCTGGAAAGACACATTCATCTTGTTCTTGTCAAAGTGGCTAGGAGTCATAAGACTAGATTTTTCCAAAACTACGTTGACTCATTCTACTCTGAAGTAGAAATAGCCTTTTTCCACTGCTTTTTGTGGTTAGATTTCATAAGCTACATCTAGTCCTTAAATTTTCTTTTGTTTCCCCCCTCCATCAAAGAGGAAGACACTTGAAACAATTTTTTCTCAACAATTTCAGTATTGTGTAACTATGCAGCTAACAGGAAGTTTCTCCTTATTTAAGCTAAAATAGATTAGACTACTTCTTACAGATTTTATGGATGTCTGAGCAACCAAAAGCATCTCTCTGAGCTTCATCCTCTACCACCTGTGATTTCTTCCCATGACACGCTTTACTGTTGTCTTGTACCTCAGGCATTGACAACCATCTCCCAACTGCTTTTCCCACAGTAACCATTAACTAAACATCCAATAGAACCTGTTTCTGCAAGCTTTTCTTTTGTTTTATACAGAATAGCCCAGAAACCAGTCAATGCTTAAAAATGTTTGTATTAACATCTGGCACATTTCACTGAATACACATTTCTGTATGGCATGAATAATGCAGCATCATCCACCTTTCTCTGTGTTTCTCTGGTATGTTATTTCCTCAGAAGCAAGTGTTACAAGTTTGGTGCCAACTTAACAGAAACAAATCAGTCTGGAAGTATTATTGATACTTATGCAATTTCTCTCAATTACATAACACTGTGAGCTAATTGGATTTAAAAAGGGAAGGCAAGGACATGATAGCCAGGCTGGCAGTCTCAGAGGGTTAAGCCTAAGCTAAAGAAATGCTTTTGAGGCAAAGCAGAGACCAGGGGAGTGAAGACAGACGCAGAAATTCCTGATGGATGCCATCCTCAGAGAAGCAGTGATGTTGAAGAGCGTGTTTCTCTGCTTCACATGCCCTTTGGTCAGCCAACAGAATTTGCCAGCAATTTCCCTGCAGTCACTTGTAAACTCTAGGGTGTTTGGTGAAAGTTTGATTTATGCTAATTTTAATTAAAAAACAGAATTTTATTTGCAGGAATTTTTCAAGCCTTGTCATCTTTGACAGTTTCCAAGTGAAGCACAAAGAACAGAACAAAGAAATTATTTTCTCCAAAGACTTTGATCAAAATAACTCACCTGCAACCAATACCAGGCCCTCAAATTGTTCTTAGAGGTGTTTTAAGAGGTAGAGCAACATAGAAAAAGACCTGCATTGCTCCAATTACTCTCCACTTCCTTCACAGATCTACATGGTATGCCTTTCAAGTTTTAATTCATTTGAGAGCCTTTGCAGTGTGCCAAATATTCAATCATCTTTGACTTTTGCTTGCATAGTTTCTAGCAGTAGCCCATACCTTTTCCCAGGAGATGTATATTTTGCACACCAGGTGAGCAGCATTGCATTGCCTTGCTTTTGTTTAAGACTTGCAAACCAGACAGAAGATCTACATTTGCCTTACAAATAGTTTCTTTACTGCTGTCTGTTGTCATCCACAAACACCTGAACAGCAGGGGCACCTTGTTCAGCTTAAGTTAACCAGCCTCATAAACAACCACAAACACTTAAACATTGTGACACCACCGGAAAAATTATGAAGTGCCTAGGCACATCTAAACCACAGTTTAGCAGATAAAACTTTGTTTACTGCTCAGCACTGGGAACCTCTGTCCACCAGCTGGGCCCATGACCCAAGCCAGGGCCCCATGACCCTGACTGCTGCAGCCAGGGAGAAGAGTGTCTTGGGGAGCTGCCCTTCTTACATACTCCTGCTCACAGGCACTTCAGCCCCAGGATTTACATCAGCACACAGAAGGAAGGAGAAATATGTCAGCCAGCTTCAAGCCCTCACGGGACACCACAAATTTTCTAAATTTCATAGGCATTCGTCTTTCCATAATGAACCTTCTCACATCTGTCCCATTTACACTGTTTTGCTTTAAATTTGTTCTCCTTTTACATTACAGCCAGTTACATTATTATTCTCAGGGGCAAAGCCCTCTTTCCTACATCCTTGTTAGAATTCACAAGAATTATGAGTGGTTGTAGAGATCAGCTCCCAACAGAGAGGTTCAAATAAAATCTAAACATTTACAAGGCAGACCACCATCGAGATTATTATATTTGTCATCTCATCATTATTTCAGAGAAAGTGTTATTTACTAGACAGAAAACAACCAGTGCTTGTGAATTAGTAAGGGTGTTACTGAAAAACAGTCTAAAAACTCCTTAACCCCAACGCAGTGTTAAGAAACAGTCATTTTTTATTAGGTGTCGGATGCACGAGGGGACATTTCCTCTGAAATATTGGGCATCCCAAATACAGAAAAGGCTCAGAAAAGGCTCATGTTTATATCCTATAGTTTACATACGTATTCATTGATTTTCCTGGAAGAAATATACATATGATAATAATTTTCCCTGAAGTTATTAACATATTTCCCCTCCCACTGACACATACATTTTCCTGTCCTGAGTGTCCCTCAAGTGGTCTTTAGCAGTTGTTGACCCAAGAATTATCCCTAACCACTCGATGAACTCAATGTTACCTCCAAAATATGAAAAAGAGTTGGCATAACCTGCACTGTCCATTATTTGGAGTCCCTTGATCAATGAAGTGTACTTCTTGTTCCCCTTCTTGGTTGATGTTTAACATAGTTTTAATTGTGCAGTTCCATAGGCTACTGATTTTGCAAAATAGGCATTCTATTAACACCAGCTGAGTAAATAGTTCTTCATCTGGCAACAGGGGCTCATGAAAATGAAGTAAATTAAGTATTTCTACCTGGACAAAGCAATGGAGCACTTACAGCTATTTTTTGTGAATGCACCTAAGCGTTCAGGGGAGGCAGAGCATTTTAAGCGAGGGCTACAGCATGAGTGGTGAAACACCTACAGAATAAGAGAAGACAACAACAGCTCGAAAATATCTGTTAAAGAAGATGCACAATGTCTGTTAAAGAAGATGCAAAATACAGTATGTGTGTAGGACTATTGGGGTGAGCATAAAGCTTCAGGAAGGAATTCAAGTGCAGCACATCTCCCACGTATCACTGGAAAAATGAGTGAAAAGGAAAGGAGAGAAAAGCCACTCCACTAGCCTCAGTTTCTCTGTAATATTTCACCACAGTGACACCACTCACTGCCTCAGGATGGATGATCAGCTTCTGCCCCAGCAAAGCCTTCTCTCACAAGCCCTGCCCACAATCCATCTCAGTGCCACGTTTCTCTGTGCTGCTGGTCTCGTCCAGTAGCTTCAGCTCTTTGGCTCCCTGAACTGTTCTTGCCTTAATTTCATACCTGAACTCTTATTGCTAAACAATCCAGTGTTAAGCAACTCATTAGTGCTCGGTTTCTTATTGTCTGTTGCATACTGGTCAATGGCATTGGCATAAATTCTTCTGTGTAAAACTGCTTTAATTAAGTGAACTTAGTCTAAACAGAACTTAAAGGCACATTGATTAAAATTCACACTACATAAAACCCTGAACTTTCTAGCTGCAGGCTTCTATGCAAGGTCCTACTGTAGAAACTTGAGTCCCAGTGGCTATATCCTGGGACTGCAAGTCAAATGTTATTTACTCAGTCTGATTGCAAATTTGTTCAGCATAATGAGTAGGTTTCTTCAGTTAAATCTTCTAGCCTGCTGCTTCTATGCAGCAGCCTGTTAAACTACAAACCCTTCCTTAAAGTCTTAGACCTCTGATAAAGCATCTCAGGTACTTGCTAGTTAAACTGCTCCTACTCATCCTTCCCAAATCTGAGCTTCTGCCTCCAGGTATTCAAAGCTGCCTCCAACCTAGATCTTGCCAGTCCTGTGCAGAGCTCCCCTTTTAGCTAACACATCTTGCTTCACTGTCCTCCATCTTCGGGAGCCTCTTGCCGTTTATGAATACCTATCAACCTCTTAAAGGCTTATGGCATTTACAATTTGCAATTGAGTTTTTTGTGATGCAGATAGCAGGTAAGTATGCTACTGGAGAGCAGGCAGACTTCTCAGTAGCACAGTGATTAGCCATTCAAATCAGCTTCTACACTACTCAAAGACAAATGCACAGGACACAGCCTGCCTTCAACACTTATCTTCCATCTCAAATTCCGTATCATCACACCTTCCTTCTCCATACTTCCTCCTTGTATGAAATAATGAGGTTCTCATATACTCACCAACATAGTTCTGCTTACTTTTTCTCTTTAGGCTAGACCATTACTGGAGCTGTTGGAGATAAAAACCAGGAAACACTGGTTTTACTTCACCAGCTACTGAATTCACCTTACCCCAGCAGTGCTTGTGGTCTCCTACAAAAATATCACCTCAGCTCAGCTCCAGCTCCGAAATGAGGGCTGTACAAACTATCTTCCCATCATCTGCAGTAAGCAGGACACAAGGTCTGCTTTCTTACTGCTGGGCATCAAGTCCAGTTTCAAGTGACAGAGTCCACTGATCAGACACAAGCTGCACTGGCTAAGAGCAGTAGATACTGTGTCCTAAGAGAAATACTTATTAGCATGGAAGGAACATTTTACAATTCATACAGGCTAATGAATCAGAAAGCAGGAACAGTTAGTGACTGCCAGGCAAAGAAAATTTCTGGCATCAGAGAAAAAGTACATCCTATATATCCTTTAACTATCAGGAACTGAGGGTCAATACAAGCCAGCCTAGCAGAGCTCACCCAGCAGTAGATGTTTGTGCTGGTTTAAGAGTTAACCAGCAGGGGAAATGAACCCAACTCAAAGGAGAGATTATAAGTCAGAA